GTAGCGGCGGCGGCGGTGGCGGTTATGGTGGTGGTCATGGCGGCGGTTATAGTGGCGGCCATGGTGGTGGTGGTGAAGCCCATACACTAATCATCTCAGACGCAGGCGGTCATGGTGGACACGGCGGTGGTGGCAGCTATGGTGGTGGATACAGTTCCGGCGGACATGGTGGTCATGGCGGGGGAGATGCTCACGTAGATACTTATGCCATTATTAAAGAATCTGGCGGTGGGTATAGTGCGAGCGGTCATGGCGGCGGTGGCTACAGTTATGGTGGCGGTCACAGCAGTGGAGGCGGTGGTGGCGATGCACATCTGGCTAAATTAGCAGCGGTAGCGGCAACGTCTGGTGGCTCTCACGGCAGTGGAGGCGGCGGTTATGGTGGTGGCGGCGGCGGTGGTCATGATGACAGTCATTTAGCTGCAGTAGCAGCCGCCGCAGGTGCATCCGCGCATGGCAGCAGCGGCGGTGGCGGTTATGGTGGTGGCGGTTACAGTAGCGGTGGTGATGCGCATTCCATTGCCAATATAGCTGCGCTAACCGCTTCAAGCGACTCACACGGCAGCGGCGGCGGTGGTTATGGTGGTGGCAGTTATAGCAGCGGTGGAGGCTATAGCAGCGGGGGAGATTATAGTAGCGGTGGACACGACGATGCCAAGATTGCAGCGATAGCCGCGTCAACAAGCAGCAGCTCCAGCGGCTATGGTGGGTATAGCGGCGGAGGCTATAGCAGCGGTGGTGGAGGTTATAGCGGCGGCGGTCATATCGACACAGCTGTTATCGCCTCAGCAGCCGGTGCGCACGGAGGCTCAAGCGGCGGAGGGGGAGGTTATAACTATGCACCGGCTTCCGGGGGTGGCGGCTGGCAATCGGGTGGCAGTGGTGGTTGGGCGGCGTCAGGCGGCGGTGGTGGCGGCAGCAGTGGCTGGTATAAACGCAAATGAGCGCCGCGTGTAGGCAACGCGATCACACACAAAACAGCCGCCCAAAGTTTAGTTGTTTAAGCAAGCGCATAAATATGTTTTCTACTGCTGTTGTAGATACGTCTAAGGTTAAGCATATTTATTCTAGTCCACTAATGCTGGGGGAAACTGCGGAGGAGAGGATGCGACCGCGCATACGCATTTAACGTCGTTTAGCTGCTCACCGCACACATCACCTTAAGCGTTCAATACGCTCATCTTAAATTATGTTCAACAAAGCACAAATCATTTTGTTACATAAGTACATATGTAAATACATCCGTTATGTTCTACTTTAAAACAATTAGTACTTGTATGGAGTGAAAAGTGTTTAAAATAAATTTAAATTATATATTAATTTGTACATTTCATTTTCTTACAACTATATAAAGTGCTGAAAGCAACTGACCTAACATTTTTAGAGCCAGCTAAGTTGCCACTGACGCGTAAGTGTTACGCGCTTTAGCCATTGTCTAATGTAAACGCCTACATAGTCTGCGTTTTAAAAAAATACTTGTCATCTGCTTCGGCTGCCACGCGATGTCTTTTGAATATCGGCCTGTAGGAGTAGAGCGTGTCTGAAGTGCCGCTCGAATTGTTTTGATTGCACTGCTACACTTTTACTTTTCATAAAAAAAATATTACAAAATTAATACATAATTATATCTACATTGCCACAGTGATTATGCCAATTTTCACAAAAAAAAATTATATACAATTAAAAACTTGCCAAAAAGGCAATGGCGGAGCTCGAAAAAGCGCAAGCCAAGCGATCCAACTCAGCCCGGCTGGGGATTTGGGATTTACAAAAGAAAATGCAATGTCGCAATTACCGTTATGATGGCACTTAAATTTTTTTGGTTTAATTCGCACGTCATTGTACATACATACATACATATGTATGCAAGTATAAAGAGTGTATGAAATAAAAATATAAATAAAATGTAAAATAGGGAAGTGGTGGGGAGACTTAAATGATGAATTGCCAAAACCAAAAGTGACAGGAGAATGTGCGCGACGTACTTAGATGGGGACACTGCGCTAATTACCCCATAGCGAATGTCATGCAATAGTCACTTAGGTGTTGTGTCTGGCCATGTTAAGTCTTCAATGACTTTGGGCTTCGTTTATATGGAAGTCGTTCATGACTTTTTCATACAAATGATAATTTGGTCTTTGATGGCCTCTGCATGATTTTGTCATGCAGTGGTCATTGATGACAATCAAGCGACAATGCCCTGCCAAAGACTTTTTATAAGTGACCGCTGCAAGACATTGTCTGTTTGATAGGAGTACACCTGCATGACATTGTCACCAGTGTCATTGTCAGCTATATGTCGCTTAGGATTCACAGAAAATGGGACGATTTGACTAAATCCTCATTAGTGACGATGTCACCAGTGACCATTTTCGCTACATATGTATGTATACGTCCGCTGTGGTGATTGGCGCTAACACAATAGGTTAGTGTTTTGCCGAGCTTCTCCCCGATTTGTGGCATGCGCCTTGTTGCTGTCACACAAACGGGCGGGAGCTACAGTGGCAGAGGTACACTCGGGCTTTTCCTTCCAAGAGGCAACCGCTTTTGGAAAAACTTTTTCTTTTCTTTTG